ATCCAGGACAAATATTGTGTGGTGAGCAAGGTCATTTGTTCTGTGTCTAGGTGTAATTTATCTTTCCCACACGGGGGCGGGGGGTCGTCTACCTGTTGTTGTAGATGGCCCGAGGTATGTCGGGGCACCAGGGACTTCCTTTCTAGGGTATACCTGTTCCCCGGCTATTAGTACCCGAGACGGCGTGCGGTTTTAGTTGGTTCGAGTCCGACATGCCACGGATAGGTGGTATCCGAGGGGATTTCCGCACGAAAATAAAAAAAGGTGTAATTTATCTATAATGTGTATTTAGAAATATTTGAGTACTCGTACGTTTGTCAGCAAATTGGTTACCATAATACAGGCTCTGCCTGGTTTGGGACCGGACTGCCGTGTGTGAGAGGTGTGAAGGTATTGTTATTATTTTGTTTATAGTATGAAAGTATTTTTTTCTTTCTTTTTTCTTTTTTTTTCTATTTTTATTATAAAATGTTTGTATAATATTTGTGTACTATACTGTGTACTATTTTCCGTGTGGTGACGAATTAAGAATACGGAGTGTCACCACCCCTCTTTTTTTTTCCGTGCGGAAGTGTCACCACCCCTATTCAACAAATGGATGTCGTCGAGCCGACTAAGGGAGCAAACTATGCAGGTCAACAGCACTGCAAAGAGAAGGAAAACTTTACAGAACCCCTATACCAACGCGTCTGGCCAGCGTGGTATAGTAGGCCAAAACCTCTTTTCCAAGGAGAGGTTTATATGGGCCTACTAAGGACCTTCAACACAATGTAGTAAGGTACTTTTGTTTAATCCAATGAGCTTTCATCACATCATCATCACATCAACAGCCTATACTAGTCCACTGCTGGACATAGGCCTCTCCTTAGAAAGGAGGTTTTGGGCTACTATTCCGTGTGGTGAAGGATTAAGAATACAAATTGTCACCACCCCAATTCATCCCGTGGGTGTCGTAAGAGCCGACTAAGGGAGCAAACTAAGCAGGACAACAGCACTGCAAAGAGAAGGAAAACTTGAAAGAAACCCTATACCAACCCGTCTGGCCAGCGTGGTATAGTAGCCCAAAATAGTAGCCCAAATGAGCTTTAAGTTTGTGTTTTTTTTTTCTTAATCGTAGCAAATATAAGTTATCAGTTTCTTTGTTGGTTTTCAAATGTTAAACAGCAGATATAATCTTTTATTTCACCTTTTTATTGCCTCTCAAGGAACGATTTATGCTTTTTAGCAATCTTTTTGTCCTTCAAGAAGGCAGAGATAGCCAGTTTGTTTATTCTTTAGGCGTTTTTGGCGCCGGGTAATTAGCTGTTAGGTAGTTCAACCGTGTTTTGTCTCTCCGAAATCTCGTATTTTGCCACAATTTACGAGCCTGCCTTTTTTCACCAACTAGTTGTCGAATAGGCTTTGAACGGTATTGTTCTGTGTGTTTCTTGGCAGTAGGAGTGCTATCCCAAGCAGCCTTTTGAACACACTCTGTTAAACTTAGTAAGTTGTCTACCAAGTTTAACTACTAATTGCTAATAAGAGCGTTTAAGATTGATAAAAGAACAAAACTTAACTGACATTTAGTAGGAACGCCTTTTGCTTTTTTTCGGTTGGATATCCTGCTGCCCTATCCAGAGATTGGTCAGATAATCAAAATCTGCCCAACAGCTATCCAGTTTATTTCTAGTTAGAACTCTCGTTTAGGAGACATAACTCTCGTCGTTAAATTGTCCTGGCAACGCTACAAAGTACCAGGACCTCAACACAGCGAGTAGATCTGAATTAATGTGGGCTTCAATTTCATAGTCTATGAGTTAACTTTATTACGTTACTATCTCGGTTCCATCTTCTTTGTATTAAATGAGGTGGCGCGGCGCTCATAATGTCACAAATATTCATTAATTATACTTTAGTAGTCTTGCTAAAACAGTATGTTTAATTTAATTATAAGCGGTCACCGGTGACTGTTACGACTTAACGCTTTGTGTGGGTTCTTAAAATTTTGGGTATTCTAAGAGCGATGGGATCAAATGTCACTTAACAATTTATACTAGAAGAAACTTACCCACACTTTTTGAGAGGTACTTCAATACTCAGGCGGTCTCATTGGCATTCTGCTGTGCAAATTTTAACAATACTTGACTACACAAGATTGTCTGATATTTTATATTGTTTCACTTTTGATCTTGCAAGATATGATTACTTTCACTAAAAAAATTTTATTTCGATGAAAACCTCATTGTATGCTTTGAAATATGAATGTATATGTATAGCATACAATCACGCAGAAACAGTAACCTGAATGCGTGTTAAACATCATACCTATTTGTAAGGAAAGCTGACAGGTTATTTCTTTATAAAAACAATACGGTTTTTTCAAACATCTCTTGGATTAATTATTGCTGTATAGGTAGATAATGTTACACTCAAAACTCTTAACCAGCTTACTGCTACGCTGAGTGTTGTGGGTCCGATTCCCACATGGGACGACACTTTGTGTGATCCATACCACAAATTGTTGTTCTGTGTCTGGGTGTTCTTTGCGTCCGTTTCATGTATGTTTGTAAAGTATCCCGGGACACAGGATATATTCCTAATAGGCACCAACAATAGGGATTCTGGCGGTCGGTGCCTGCTCACTCTTGACCAGTAAAGAGTTCTGACTGTAACATATACATTGTGTGACTGTCAGAGACATCATCACATCACATCAACAGGCTTTAATATATCACTGTTGTACATAGGCCTCTCCTTAGAAAGGAGGTTTTGGCCTATATAAGATGCTGGCCAGACGGGTTGGTACAGGATTTGTGTCATGTTTTTCTTCTTTTTGCAGTGCTGTTGACCTGCGTAGTTTGCTCCCTTAATCGGCTATTGCGACACCCACGGGATCTCGCTTGATGAATAGAGGTGGTGACACTCATTCTAAATCCGTGACCACACGGATAGTCTGTCAAAGACAGTCAGACTGTCAGAGCCAGTGAAACTTAAATATGAGTGTTAGGTATTTACATTATCAGTTTAAAATGCATCCCGAACTCAGGCAATGAATGGCGGCAACGCATTTTGGTCTCTTGACTTGCAGTTCATAGATGGCGGTGGTCACATACCATAGTGATTCAGGACTGGCCTGTTGGTCTAGTGGTTAGTGACCAGGGTCACTACGCCAGAAGTCGTGGGTTCTATTCCCATCCAGGAGAAATAATTGTATGATGAGCACATACAGTACAGGCTCTGCCTAGTTTGGGATCAGACGGACGTGTGTGAGATGTGTGAAAATATTAATATTAAGTAAATATTATTCGTCTGTTCGTTTGCCCCTACCATAAAAATCTAGTTAATACCATCCCACGTCGTAATACTTCTTATAATTTGCCCTTAAAGGTGTAAAGGCGAATTAAAGGAACAGGTGATCAGATGGTGCAGGTGTTCAGGTGGTTCGGATGAAGAGAGTTGTATGACATCAACATGCAGCACTTCTTAAATTGCTTAAGGGGAAGTGGTTATATTTGGTGATAGGTAAAATGAAAGATATAATTCGAAAGTTATAGTTTATATTAGATTTATAATAAGATATGTAGTCTACAAAATTTCACAAATTTTCACAACGTTATTTGAACCTAAAGCGTCTACCCATTTTATTACGAAAATAAAATTATCGAAATCACTGGATCTACGTACTGCGGGGGCCTATTTTACGTAACCATTATTTTTCAAAATATAATCTAATAGGCAGTTATTTTATCCTCGCGTATCTTTACATGAGTAAGTCAAAAACTAATAACGGTAAAAAAATAAAAAAATATCAATCCCTAAAATAAGCCCCCGGTGAACCGAAACAACAACGTCGCTTCATACATATACAATCATATTTGTTATTGTTATATTTAACTAGAGTTATACAGAATAATGATTCCTATGAAATATAATTATGCATTCTTTAAATTTATTCAATAATATAATAATAATAATAATACTTAATAAGTATCAATAGGTAATGGTTAGTCAATGTCGTTCTACAGACTACAATAGTTTATATAATAATGAATGAGTCGTATTATCTCTTTATCATTTATTATTTTAAATTTATTACTCGATATCATAACACTAAACGAACATACAGCAGCCTCGGCCCGACTGCGCGGGCGCACGTAATCACAAAAAAACATCGTCAACACATAAAATAATAATCAATAATAATTAATAATCATACAGATAAAAATCATTCATAAAAACATTACAATAAAAATCTAAACATTAAAACACACTTAAAACAAACATTATATTAATATTATCATAATCATAGTGTGTACGTATGTATAATATCATTCAAGCGAATAATCGTATAGTCAAAAATAATGTGAGCATGGCGCGCGGGGGAGCGGGGGGCGGTCGGCCAGGGGCGCGCGCGCCGCTGTCGTCCCAGCGCGGCGCCCCACACACACAACCAACTCATTACCTACATATAAACAACACATTAGCTAGGCGCGTACAGTACACTAGTACATCACATACATTACACTAGACTCTGAACAGACAACAGGCCGCGCGTCCCGCTCCCCGCGCCACCCGTCCCTCGCCTATTATTATATTATTATAATATCTTAATACTTTACGCTATTACGTTAGGTAAGCTTTATAAATTTTCGATTTCTCATTTACGCTATCAATAATAATTATACAACTTTTTTTAAATTTTATGTTTTTTTTTTCGAAATTCTATCGTAACATACGTTCGAGTCTCTCTGCGGCGACGAGCGCGGCGTGCGCTCGACGACCTAATAAAAAACGTTCATAATAAGAAAATATATCGTGAACAACTCTGCCGACTTAAGATAGGTACGGCGCGGCGGACGGGCCGTGCCGGCGAGGCGCCGACTTTTGGCACCAGGATTTCGATTACGCGATTTTTACTTCTTTTAATATTTTTATAACGATTCGAGTAAAAAAGATCCCTACTACGAGAACGTGCGACTCGTGGCCCCGGCCGCGGGAGGCGTGTCACGGCGCCGCGCGCTTTACGAGATAATGCGGATCGCCTGATGCGCTGGCGCCGAGCATGCCGGGCACGGCGCGCCTCCCGCCGCCAGCCGCTGCGCGCACTCCAGGCAGAACAGATTGTGTCCGCATGGCACCAGGGCCGCTGCAACACCGCGCTCGCCGCATACAGCGCATGCTCGTGCCGGCGAAGCGGCTGGCGACGGCCGTGTCGGGCCCCATGCCCATACGCCTGCCGTGCCACCGCCCGGAGACTCGAACGACGGCGACTCTCCGAGTCCTTCGTCGCGTTCTGTCGACGACCAGATCCCAAGCAAATCGCCGAGCCGCGCAGACGAACCGCCCGATGAGCACGAGCCCGCTGAAGAGAAAGCGGCCTCTTGTTCAGGCCGCAGCAGCGAAGCAAGCCCAGCGCGGTACAGCTGCGCAAGCGGTTCGCCATCTGTCTGCACAGGGACGCCTCCGCCTGCAGCGCCAGCGGAACCCGTGCGCAGTGCGATGTGAGCTTCAATTTCCTTCCGTGCAGCTTCAACGCTCTCAGGCAGCCCTGTGACCTCAAAAACTGGCTCGCGCTCGCGTGATGGTGTAACTATATAGGTGTGCGTGGTGTGCTGGATGCGTTTGATGGTAGCGCCCTTGGGTCCTACGACTAGTCCCACGACGCGGTACGGCACGCGTACTTGTGCGGTGACGTGACCAGGCGCGCCGGCCGGCGGTGGTGGTGCGGCGCCGCATTTGCGTGAGGCGCGGATCTGTGAAAAGTGCTCAGCCGCCGAGAGGATCTCGCGCTTGGCACGCGCGACGTCCTCCTTGCGGCCGGTAACTACGAACACCGGTTCCTCGCCACGGACTGGAGTTTTGATGTACGTGTTGGTCTTCGCACGAAGCGCTTTTATCTTGCATCCTGAAACAAACAATAATATCCCCGTTAAAATAAGTTATGAGAACAGTTCATATGTCGGGTAGTTCGCCTAATAACTCATAACTTTTTATTGCGTTCTTTATTTTACACTCAAGTCAGTGAGAAAATGCTTTATCCTTTTTTTAGACTTCGTGGGAATCAGTTCATTGTGGACGGTTGGTGTTCAATGTAAAACCGTAAAAGTCGGTATGGTTTCGAAAGGTATGCGGCAAACCTATTTACTGCAGAATCAACTTAGCGAACGCCCAACGTGGGGTCTTATGAAATTCAAGGTTGTTCATATAAACGACATTCATAGCAGTCTCGGCATTGAACAGGATTGAAGGCCGTTAGGCAAAATATACTTCGGTTATGACGAGGTCGGTGCGGGCATATTGTCGGCATTGATGTGGCCCGCGAGACGAACCGCCCTTTTACTACCAGACGGGTAGTTAACCGTATATGTAATTCATTATTTGGCGCTCAGCCGGCATGCGGCACACACGTATACCTGGATTATTGCTTCACCACGTGTTTGACATAACCTATACTCACAACAATATTGTGGCAAGTAAACTATGAAGAAAGACACATATGTTAAATATTCGAGAAAGATACACCATTTACTGTCCAAACTCTAGCTCTGGTTAATGTATTAAAACAAGTAATAAAATAACAGAGCGGCACGTGTACGTATTGAGTAATGTTTTTGTCCTTTATCTACACGTGGTTGTGGCAATATTGCGTCCCGCTTGCTCGCTTACCCCAATGCGGCAAAAACATGGCAATGTTGCGCACAGCATCCACAGCCCACTTCGTTAAGACATGACTTGACTGCTAAACCGGGACAACTGTATAGTATGCCACTGAAACGAGACGAGAGCCATCATTCTTGAATATCACTTGACATTGTTCACGCATAGACAATATTATATAATATGTTATGTATTACTTGTATTTTGCTAACAGGGTATAGGAATACAAAGGTGTTGTGGCCTAGTTTGAAAAGACTAAGCCCAAAAACACGTGAGTAAACCTGAGTGAACCTACTTTTAACGTAAACAATCGTAAAAGTATACCAACTTACAACTAAGCGGTAATAAAGTTGATTAAAACTTGTGAACGTTTCGTCCCACTAGACGTGTGATGTAGCTGGCACTTACACCCTTTTGAAAAGCTCCTTAGTATAAGTATCTAAATGTACAAACATCACTTCCTACTTCTAAACAATTCAAAAACTCAACAAAAGAATTGATCATTCTCTTATTAATATTTAAAGGAATTATTGTGTAGCCGGCTTCAAACTCAGTTCGCGTGAAAAGCAGGTATTATCGGCATTGGTTACAAATGGGAAAGGCCTATACGTAATAGAGGGTAGTTTCATGAATCACGGGTTGACGACCCGGGCGGTAACCCCTGCGTTTGGCATCCACCGATTTTGAACCTTACCGCCTGTGGAATAAGGATAATTAGTTTATTTATGTATAGGAATACAATTTCAAATGTTGTAAAGTATTTTTTGTACTTTACGCCAAAAGAAATAAGGTATGAAATAGAGTGGGGCGCTTTTGATGAGAAAATCGAAAAGGTGGAAAATGATCGTTTTTCGATTATGAGATGGATTAGTCAGTTTTTGTTTGATACTCCAACGGTATGATTAATTAATTCGCCGATAAATTTTTTTACATTTAATTTATTACCATAATTGATTTAACACGTCGTTTTGCGGTTAGTTATGCGCTAACAAACTTAATTGCCGCAGCAATTAACTTCTATTTGATGAATTTTGTAAACGTATCAACTAAATAAACCAATTATATGGATTTTTTATTGATTTCCCACATCTTGCTTATGTCCTAAAATAACGCTCTGTGAACATATTATATAGAACAGGTTGTTGTTACCGAGTGAGTATCTGTAGACGCTTTCCTGCTACGAACTCGTAGCTTGCGTAGCACTCAGGTAATATAATTAATTACTTTGATTGCTTAAATTTGTTTTATAATACTCTAAAATATATAGTATCAAACACTTTTTCTAATTACATATACTGTTTGCTATAAAATAATTTAGTTTAAAAAAACTATGAAATTGTTCTAGCATTTTCTAAAAAAAATCGTCTTAGTTTTATATATGACACTTAGATTGTTCAGTCTCGTAAGCCTAAGAATAAACACAAAAATATATCAGTAGCTTCTAAATACTAAGTGGCGTAAGTTAGTGTGCGCTGGCAGGCTGCCAGACGCCGCGCGGCTATCTAGACAAATTAACATACGCTGTGCTTGTCGCTGAACAGTACTATGCACTATGTGTAGCGTGAATAACGACCTTCTGCAATGTTATGCTATCCTGGTACTTATATTCAAAGTGTACAACTATACACGCAGCTAAATTGAAGCTTTAAGAAAGTTTGTCTGACTTTTTTTGAAAATATAAAGTAAACTTTGCTAATCTTAAAACAAGTTTGAGAATCCTTCGGGTTTATTATCAGGTTAACCTCTTATGTGCTGCTGTTTCTTTGTTACAAACTTAAGAACATTTATTGCTTCTATGTGTTTTCAACATTTTTAGATTTTATATGTATGTATGTTCGCATGTATGTAAAACTTACTCAAGGAAAAATAGTGTTATGAGTTAGGAGAGTTTTAATCGGACGAACATTTTTAAACTTGATTTAGTAACCTATATAAACTGTCTTGAAGGAGCAAATAATAAGAGAAGGAAATTTTCTATTATTTATTCAAAAATAGTTAGTTTGGCGTATTGGGCTAGCCGTTGATCTTGGCTGCTGAGTCGCAAGTTCTATTCTTATCTTTGACAAATTATTGTGTGATGAGCACGATCACTTATTCTGTGTTTGGGTTTAATTTTAGTCACAATATGTATTTAGTAACATTTAAGTAAGTATATCAGCAGGAACTTGTGCCAAGTTATTTTTATTATTTATTACTATTATTATTAGGTACTTTTAAACAATTTCGAGCTCAAAGAACATATTGTTTCTCTAATATATCGAGTCATAATTACTAGATTTATCAATCGATTCGATGAATGAGTAACAATAATATTTATAGCATAACCGTAGTAAACTTCACTACGGTGACCTACATTCAAGCTGCTCTCCTAGTACAATCCGAGAGTTTCATGAACGCTATGAGCCTTTTTTGTTGTATATTTAATCAATAAATGTTTTGCTATTAATAAGTTTCATTAGTTAAGTTCAATGGTTATTTTATAGTCTTTGTTCTCTGAGTGTGTTTTTATTTATAAATTATATAATTAAACATGAACAAACATATACATGTTATTTAGGCATCACTGTTTTTCTTTTGTATTCCTTTTAAGTTCTTCATTTTGTAACTAATATCAGAAAAAGGTATTACTGAATTTCATGCGTCTTATTTATGATATAGGGCTGTATTCTATATTTCCAATTACTCAAATTCGAATTAATTGGTTAAAAAGAATTTTAGTTTTCATATACACAATTCACTAATCCTCAAATACGAAACAAGGTTTTCCTTTATTTAATTCAAAATTTCAAATAAAACGATATACGTTTAGAACCACGACCTGTTCTTGAGAAGCTTACTAAATATGATTAAAAATGGCCTAAAACACAAAAACGCTTAACATAGTCTAAAAAGCCTTTCATAAGATATAGGCTTGAAATCAACTCGGCGAGCGCGTTGCGAAGCGCGCTCGCTTCCAGGGAGCACAGGGAACATGGGGTTCCCACACGGGGCGGGGGTCGTCTACTCGTCTGTAGATGACCCGAGGTATGTCGGGGCACCAGAGCCTTCCTTTCTAGGGTATACCTGGTTCCCCGGCTATTAGTACCCGGCGAAGGCGTGCGGTTTTAGTCGGTTCGAGTCCGACATGCCACCGACAGGTGGTATCCGAGGGGATTTCCGCACGGAAAAAAAAAAAAAAAAAGGCTTGAAATCAACTTGTAATTATAAATAGGAATCCAGTTACACTCTTCCTCGTTCAAACAATAATAACCTTCACATTAAATATTACTGAAGTATCCAACGATACATAAAAAAACGAACATCAAAGCTGAAAGCCTACTTCCGTACGTTTCATACAAACCATTCATGAGGGTCTACGTGTCTACGCGATTGCTACGCCTCGGCCACTGCACTCTACGGTCGGCGTAGCGTTGTAGAACCGGGTCACAGCGCCGAGTACCTCCCCCGTCCGCTACCCCTCTGGTATCCAACGTTCGTTTCATGACTTCTAATTCGTAATTTCACGTGAATTCTTATGGGTTACTTTACTTATTTTGTGGTAGTAAAAAATCGAACATTAGTGGGAAAATTATTATTACTGACACACTTTTATTGACAGGCATATTTAAAGGCTTACTTTGTCGTTATTTATTTTATTTTGCTACCTTTAGATATAAACTTTACGAATGATCAACATTTCAGATGTTATAAGTGTTAGATTAGGAGGAGATGGGGAAGGGGGGAGAATGAATGGCATCACCCAGACTTTGGAAATGCTGGTACAATACGTTTACATAGGTTATTGACCTGGAATGAATGGCCAGAATAGGGGTCGTGGGCTTGAAAACAAATTAGGACATTTTCACTGGCCAGATGGAAATTCACTAGGAGTACGCCATGTCGATAGGCTTTGCAGGAAAAACATCTGTCTCTTTAACGGACTTCAAAGAAGAGGTTCTCAATTACGATTTTATTGTATATGTTTAGCGATGTCTTTGACATTTGTGAATCGATTTCAATATTAAAAAAGAAATTGAATTGACGGTACTTAGGTCGGCCTTTGGAGATTTAAAAAAAATATGATGATGTGCATAGTAACTACATATATTTTATCATTACTGTTAATAACCATTATATTAACATCCATTACTAAGTTCATAGGGTGGTAGTCAGACGACGAAGGATCATAAGCAGCAATGTGATCATGACTTTGATTGATTGAAGTTAAAATTTAATTATCATGATGAATCTGCTTAATTTTAAGATCGTTGAAGGAAGCCATGTGGAAGCCAGTAAATGATAATGGGCCAATTTAGACTGTTTGATTTCACCAAGATTATTTTATTATGTAAATTTGTTATTTTTAATTGGCGGCGTTTAATTACCGAGACTTGTAGGAACCGGTTTTAGTGCTATTGAAAAAATATCGGAATAATTATTTACTGGTAATGTGGTATTGTATTTTGTAGCAGTATAGCCGATATGGCTTGTGGATTAATAACACAGATGTTGGGCTTGCAATTGATTGGTTGCGGGTTTGAATCTTGTACTAACTGAACTACAATATGATGAATAAGTTTATCATTGAAGTATTTGCTTTAGTTATGAAATAATTTGATACAAATCTAAAAACATTATTAGAATTTGAAGGAATTCACTGAATTCGGTGAAAAGCAAAGAATTAATTGTTTGGCACCGGTTTTCCTTGAGATCGTGGTAACACTCCTGTCGAGTTGACCCATATTTTGATCTACCCTTCAGTCCATCATTATGATTTTTTGCCTGGCTGATTCTTCGCTCTTTTTACTTCTATGTCATTGTACGCAACAATAACCTTTTGAAAATAAACTGAACATATTTAAATTCTTGTCATAACATCATGTACTTTATTTAAATAATTGTGTATTTTAAAATATTTATCAACAGTGAAGTTAATTTCTGCAGGAGGAGAATGACGCAGAAAAATAAAGGAATACAAAGAAAGAATATTTACCCGCCTACACGTCACTGTTCCCAAAGGTGGAAAATCACAATTACCTGAGCAAAGCC